TGCACAACAACAACAACAACAACAGCAACGTAGGCTGTTGATGAGACGAGAATGTCAGTGCTGCCAGTGCCAATTATGAAAGCTGATATGCTTGCGAAAACCCGTTGATGGGCGCGCTTCAAAGCGCTGACCAGCCGCCGCCACAGCAACAGCAACAGCCAGAGGCAGAGGCTGGAGCAGCAGCAGGAGCAGCAGCAGCAGCAGCAGGAGTGAGGAACCAACCAGAGATAAGGAAGTGTATGTGCATCCCGTCGCCGTTCGTCTGGAGTGGCGCTTAAGCACATTGTGGTTGCAGTTTTGATTGCATACGGATATTGGACACTCACACGTGGCACTCGGAAATTAATTAAGCAGGCAATGGCACTGAGAGAGCTGCTGCAACTGGTTGCACCTAGATGGAGCCAAACAGGGAGACAGAGAGACGGATGACGAAGTCTGCCGACTAATGAAAATGTAATGCCATGGATGAGAGATGGATGAGAGAGAGAGAGAGTGGAGAGGAGGGAGTGAATAGCCCCGGGCGGGGTGTGGCAAATGCATTGCGGCTTATTTGCAAGTAATTAGATTGAAACAGAATCTTGTCATTCAATTGCTAGTCGCTCTCTCTCTCTCTCTCTCCCTGTATCTCTTTCTCAGTCTCGCTGTCTCTGTTTCTGTCTGTGCTGCGGATGATGCATCATCATCATTAACATCATCATCATCAATTGCGGATTTGTCCAGTTCACAGGCTGGCTGTTGGAGGCGTGTCATATGGGCGTTTTGACTTGTCTTATCTGCAAGTAATTAAGCACCGCAGGGCGGCATTACAAACCAATATCGAGGCACATCGTCTTGCTTATGCACACACACACACATATATATATGCACAGAGCTGTGTATGTCTGTGTGTGTGCTGCATAATTCACTTGAAAACTGCCCCAGCAGCAGAGCAACATGCTGGAAAAATGCCGAAATGTCGCCGTGGCGAAATTTATGACCCAAAACGGCAACAAGCACCAGCAGCAGCCGAAGCAGCGGCGGCAACAACTCTCAACTCAACTTGCAACACAAATGGGGAGCAACAGTCGCAAAACAGTCGCAAAGGACGCTGTTGTAAATGTTTTTATTGTTGCTTTAGCTGTTGCTCTCACTGTGGCTGTTGCTGTTGCTGTAGTCGTTGTTGTTGCTGCTGTTGCTGCTGCCACAATGTCAAAGTAGGGAAAAGGCAAGAACAACTGCAACTGCAACTGCAATTTATGCGCAGAAATATTGTTGAAATTGTTCGACTTTAACAACTAAATTTCCAGTGCACTTTGGCCAGAGTGTGGGTGAGCTAATGTCTGTGTGTGAGTGAGTGTGTGTGAGTGTAGACAAAAGTGCTCCAAATTGGTTTTTGGTTTAACTCCAACTCCAACTGCAACTCGAGCTATAACTCTAGCTCACACAGTGGCAGTTGCTCGGGTGATAAACTGTGCAGGTGCAGATGCAGATGCAGCTGCAGCTGCAAGAGCTGGGGGAGTTGCGCTTCACAAAGTCTGCGCAACATGATTTGTGTGCTTCTAATGGCCACAGGTATTTAGTGGCAAGGTGTGGCTGCTCCAACACAGCAACAACAATGAGCAGACTTTTGCAACATGATTAGCCCAGCTCTCACTCAAGTGCGTATTGTCGAACAATTCCGACAGCAGCAGCAGCAGCAGGTTTATGGCGACACGGCGTGTCAGGAGAATGGAGCTGTCGCACCTTTTGTGGCAGCCGCTCATCTGTTAGTCTGGACCACAGAAACTGTTAAGCGTGCCACAGACGACAACACACATTATGCAAAATAACGTGCCGCAGCCTCAATCACTCAGCTCGCCAAGTGGGGGCCAAGCTAAGCGCTCGACATTTATATCAAATGTCATATGCCTCGAATTGCCAAATGAATCATAAGAAGTGAGGACCACCATCAGACAGGAAGTAAACGCAAATGCGACGGGTGGGTGTACCCAAAAAACACAACGGCAAAATAAAGAAAAAATCACACACAAAATACCCGGAGAGCGCTACGCCTACGGCTTGACTGAAGACCCCCAAGACCTGTAGACAGACAGACGGCTGCAGATGAGGGGCCCATGATAGACAGCAGGGTAGGCGCACAGCAGGACGATGTCTGCACATGCAAAATAAAAGTAGATATAGACGTGCAAGAAGAAGAAAAACGAAACGTGGCCAGAGCACCCACACCCACACCCACACTCACTCCCCGTGTCGAAATCGCCAAACTCCATTGCCAACTTCAAGTCCAACTCCAGGCGGTTGACCAACATAAATGGCGCAAAGTTGAAATGCTGACAGGCGCACATTCGTTATGACGTCGCAACGTAACGTAACATAACGTGGCATGAGCTATGTGGTATGGGGCCATGAGACATGAGACATGAGCCATGAGGCCATGAGCCACGATGGCCATAGCAGTGCCGTGCAGTGAGTAAATCAAGTTGTAGGTAAGTGAGATTTATGCTTATGTCGTTTAGTGTAAGCCAGCAACATCGCCAACAACTTGGCCAGCTCAATACGCCAGCGTCGCCGTCGGCGTCGCATCCCCCATCTGCTGCGGTTGTCGTCTAGCGCATGCAAAATATGACAACATGCCTCCCGAACGGATCAGAGCTAGTCAAAATCGAAATGCAACTCAATGCAGGCAGCAAAAACTCTTTGGGCCAGAGTCAGTTTTGGGTCTCTACTCCCGTTGCTGGGCATCAAAGGTGACAGCTCTCGTTTCTCCATTAAACTGTCGGCAGACACTGTCCAGATAACTTTATTAATGGATATTGCTGTGACTGCGCACTAGGTAGTTGCAAATGCCTCGCACCGAAGTGCAGATTCTTGAAAGCTGAACAAATTTCCACACAGACAGGCTTTAAATGGCTCAAGTGAGTTGTGGACTAGAAATCTGTTTCTATTCGATAAGCAAAGAGATTTTATCACTTACTTTAAACACTCAAGCTGTAAATTTGAAGATAAGAATTTGAAGATTGCACTAACAAAGATTAGGGATCATAGCTCCTTATCTACTCAAATCTCAGGCTGAGGAAAGACAGTTTAAAGACATTTAAAATTGTTACTTTTTTCAGTTCTGTAGAAATAATATTGACTTAACATTATGTTAACATATAAGTCATAATTGAAACTTCAATTAATAGTAACATAAACGTCTAGCACCAGTTCTATAGCTCTCTTCTGTTTAATAAACCAACAGCTCAACAATCAGTTCTAGAATTAGTATAAAAGCTATACTGAATTAAATCATTATTATTAAATCATATGATGGCCCTATGAAATAATTTTTAAGTCCATTTATTACCTTTAACCAATAA